AAATGTGATTTTGATTCCACTTCTCTCTCAGTGAAGACCTTTATCTACCTACCTACATGTACTTACAAGGCTAAACAATGTTCACAACTTTAAGCTTTTCTTCCTTATAAATATGAATTCAGTGGTTTTACAAAAGTGGAACACGGTTAAATTAGCACAAATTACTTTAGCACTCTGTTAAGTCTTCATCAGAGTAACGGGTCACCCGCTGTCCAGAAAATTCTACTTCTGTCTCATCAGTCCACAAACTTTTGCCCAAAACTCTTGGGGGATCATCAAGATGCTTTTGGGAAATGTGAGACAGGCATTAGTGTTGCTTTTGGCTTAAAGATGAGAGAAATGCGGTTTGGGTTTTGGGATTCTCCAAAAGATACTCAGGGTTCTTTTGTGGCTGCTGGCTCAGGCCACCCCTAGGAAGGTTCACCTTGTACACGTTATCTCCATTTCTTATTTAATTTCTCAGATTTTATTTTTTCGTCTGTTTCTGTCAGCTGGCGAGACGGAGCGAGGCTCGATGCGCTCTGCCGCTCCTGACTGCTGCATGCAGTGCAGTTTTCAGTTGTGATCCAACACTCCTGTCCACTCAGATCTGTCATCTGCACAGCGCTGGTTGAAATGTCACAAGTGCAGAGCATTAAGGGGCAAGAAGGCGGCGGGCACCGACGTGACAACGCTACTGTCCTCAGGCTGCTTTTATATGCATGTGTACAACCGCGTCTTCCACACATGCAGCTCAGTCAGGTCCAAATAATGACATGCCTGGTTTAGGCGTTTCACAACAAGGGCCTTCAAAATACGGCTTTAAATAACAACTCTCGTTAAAACGTTTTGGATTAAGTTAATAACCAACCACAACTGTCCTGGTAGAGTGATTGTGAAGAGTTTTTTTTTCGGATCGTAGCAGAAAACAAACCCCATTGGGCCAAAAGATGCGGCTGTGTCATCCATCACTATTGTTTACGGTTGTGCGACAGATTCACGGTGGTACTAGAAACATGTGAACATAAAAGTTCCAACCGAAACCTTTGCGTGTTTTAAAAAAAAAAATGCAATTAATTGCGTTAAAATTTTGAACAGGGTAAAGTCCATGTAGTTATTTGGAACCGTCCCGGCCCGTACAAAGCATGGGGACAAGAGTCAGAGTATTTCATTACAAGATGTTTTTTATTTTTTTGTCAATCCAGTCTCTGGTCAGAAAAACAGCATCGACGTGTGCTTGGATTCTGTGGACCGGTACTGGTTGACTCGATTTCCTTTTTTTTAAACCACTTAGTCAATTTGCTAATTTTTCCATGGAACACGACTCCAAACTATTAGTGGTAAATTTGCCTATTTGCAGATTTATTTATTTTTTTCACTAAAGCCACATGATGAGGTCACTATGAACAAGAACATCAATTTAAAAAACCCAGAGATTGAACTTCTCCTTTCATCCATGTTTCTCTGAGATTAAGAGGAAATTAAACATGGAACAGATTCTGCAAAGGTTTTTATTTATTTATTTTTTTTATAGCATCGTCTGATAAATATTTTCTCTAACAAAAAAGTTGGTTTTTGGAAAAATAAACTCAAAGGTTATTAAATACGACCAGACGGCACAGGAGTCGCTTTGTAAAAAAGAAAATGTAAAAATCAATCTTGATCTCAGTGTGGATGTGCAATTTAAGTTTCTACAGATCAATAAGTTTTTTTCCATTTAAAGTGAAACTTTATTTCAGTCGTTTCTAAATGAAACTACAAAAATAGTTTAAAGCGCATCACAGGATAACATCAGACCTGAGCGAAAGCTGGCTTTTGAACGCGGCGACAGAACAGCAGAATGAAAGGACTCTCATCTTCGACACGCACACGAACCTCACTCCGCCGCTTCTGAATATTCTCCCTCTTTCCGAGTCGGCGTGCCTCTGTTCACGGTCCCCTGTGGCCTCATTATCACAGCCTGAGACACGGCAGCCATATCTGACAAAACAAACAGCACACGCAACTCAGGCTGGCCTGGTTTTTCCTCCTCTTTTTACACAGGCTTGCGTAAATCCGAAAACACAGATTGTAAAACAGACAAAACACGCACACGCAGAACCGAGTCATGCCCATCCAAAGACCAGAACGCATTCCTGACGCAAGCTAACCGGAGGAATCACACAAATCCACAAACCTGTAAATAGAGAAACTGAAGTTTTCATCTCCCTTTCCAACTCACATCAACACAAGCCCACACAAATATGCGGTCAGTTCGTTCCAAACATTCAGGACTCGCAAATTACACAACATGCAGGCGATTCAAAACAGGAAAGGCAGGAATTATGTGTGTTATTTGAAATCTTGTTTAGCAATTTCCAGCATGCAGATCATGAGACAGACAGGTGATTCAACACAACCTGTCAACAATCACTTTTACTTCAGTTCTGACTGTTTATGCCCGAGGTAACTTTTAACTGAAGTCCATGTGCTGCCCAGGTGGTCAGTATGATGCGAGATTCAGAACCGGGCAAAGTAACGGGTCACTGCGAGACATCTCTTCCGTCTTTGGCTGGACCGAGGAATCCTGGGTCCACTTCCACTGGCTTCATGGTTTGTGATTTTACAGTTCATTGCAAAATTATTCGCAATTCTTGAACCCATTTACACTGACGCGTATCAGTCACAAGAAGTGCAGCAAAAGGGACTAAACCTCCTGGGGCCAGTGCGGGGAGACTGCAACATTCTCAAAAGCATGAACATAACTTCAGTCTCCAGGGAATTATCTCCATCTTTGTCAAAAGGTGGAGAAGAAGGTTCAGTGGTAACTTTATGAGTTTCTAACTCCAACTGAAGCTCTTTACACCATGTTCCAAATGATTACGCAAGTGATATTTTCTAAGATTTTTCTAAACCGTCAATGCAAACGATGGTCAGTGTAATTTTCAAGTCATGACCTATTACAGTAGAAATCAAATTTTACTGAACAATTCCCATGTCTCTGAAGAGCAGCTGGTTAGAGAACAATTATGATCCCCTAACACTAAAAATACACAAATAAATAACATTCAAAAAACACTAATATCAAACACTTGACCCAATTATTTTCTAAGCGTTCTTGATTTGAAGGACAAATCGCCTTTGGGACAAACAAGTTTCTAATTCTGTTGCTTCCAGTAAGAGGTCAACCCAGCAAGAAAGAACCAAAACTGGTCATCTGCTTCCTGAGTTATACAGCAACCTACTTCATGTTGTCAGACAGGTTCTGTTTAAATGACTCCTTGCTCACAACAAATCTGAAATTGATCTGATTACTTATGGCTAAGAAAATTGATCTTTCACTTTCTAAAAGGTGACGGGCGATCAGCGTTTCCCCACAAGGTCCGTTTGACTCTTGGATTTAATCAGATTCTTTTCGCCTCATGGCAAAACTGGATGATTCGAAATATTTAAGCGGGACAACAAACAAGCGTATTAACAAGTTCATGAAGCTAAAATGCTCGTAATGGGTTTTGACTGCAACAGGGCGACTCAGCACTTTCAGACGGCAAGAAAGAAAGAAATTACAGCAGCATCAGCGGCTTTTAAGACATCGTATGATTTCACAACCCACGGACAACATGATGTCTTACTACGAACGTAAAATGTTATCACCTTCTAAAGTCGAGCACCGCAGAAGAGCATTTAGCACAAAGGAAATAGAGGGATAAAGTAAAGCCTTTACTGCTATCGCTGCATATCTCTGGCATGTAGGTTATGACTTTATTATCAGCGGGAATAGCGGGCTTGCTGAGGCCAACCGCTAATCTTAGTGCTAATTAAAATCTAGCTTGTGCAGCTCATCAAAACAATTAGCGGGGAACAATAACGAGGGGACGCAAGAAGGGAGCGGGATGAGTGATGAGTGAAGAAAGAAGGAAGGAGAGAACAAATGGAGGCAGAGGAGCTAACGGGCTCGGGGGAGAGAGGCGAGCGCTCCCAACCTGGGAGAAGATGATAGGCTGAGACACAGAGGGAGGATGAGAAACCACGAAGTGGCAAACCTCCCCGACTGCTCCCAATCTGACACATTCGGGAAAGTGAGAGCGGGACATTCTATGATGGAACAAAAAACCCCAAAACAATTGCACTCCCGCTTTCTCGATTCTCTCAGCTGTCTGTCTCAGTGTCTAATATCCCTTCTCTTCTTGGCACTTGTTTTTGTTCTGCCCTGCTAAAATGACTCCCTCGCTTCCTGAGGCGACGAGGCCCGTGTTGAGGCCAGACCTGAGGAAGGGAGGCCAAAAGGAAACGAGCAACAGATGGTGCAGGTGTTCCTGCAGGGCGATTCCTTTCACCTGGCGGGCGACCGACACCTCCTCACTTCTCGTCTCCTGCTTTGTGCCCACGGCCTCCAGGGAGGCAACCTGGTCCGCCATCTTGCTCCTGCTTCTCATGTTCTTTCGAGGACAACATCTTTGAAAAGAAACTTCAATCACCAAGTGTACGTTAATACATCATGAGAGTCTATGCCAATTTTGGGCTCTCAGACACTTATTTAAAGGGGCAGCACCATGTATTTTTCAGGTGCCATTTTATAGCATAATCAAGCAACTATGTTCATGTCAGTCGTTATAAAAGTACTATGTATATCAAATATGATGCAACAACATTTGACTTCATAATTTAACGGTCCATTTTTTATCTTTGGTAAGGCGTCTGATGATATTTCTGATGTCAAATTTCTAATTGAAATGCATTTGTGGGGCCAAGAAGCAGAGTTAAGGCTTCAAGAAAATCTACAAACCTCCAGGACTTTCCCAGCCACTGCATGTCTTGAATTCTCATTTCAGGCCATCCCAAAAGCTCCTGTCAAACATATTTTTATGTTGTCAAAAGAGAAAAATTTAGCTGCCAAAGAAAAGTGTATGAAACTTGAGAACTTTTAGAATTGCAACAAAAAAAAAGAGCACCACGTTTTCTACGCTCTGACCAGAAGACATTTAGCAACAGAAGCCTCGCTTTTACTGTTCAGATGCAAGAAAATAATTTTATTAAATAAACAGGAGGAAAAAATGCATGCTTTATTTGCATTGTGTTTTTGTTTTTTTCCATGTCATAGCCTCAGGATAAAATCCACAACAGTTGCATTAATAATGTGGCAAAGAGCTGCTTGTTTGCTGCTATTAATTTACAGAAATTGGTACATGAAGCAGTTTTAACTTTAAAAAAAAAAGGCTCGTTTCTACCTTTATATTTGGGTAATAGGACAACAACAGTGCGGCTCAAATTAATTTCCGTATGGCTCACATCGGTGGATTGAAGTTGTGTTCCATTAGCAGTCTGGCATTTACAGTCAAGCCTCAGTATTTTGTACAAGTGTTGCATATTTTTCAATAGTATGCTGCTGCAGAGGTAACGCTTTTCCACTAATAGAAAATATTAGACTGTCTAAGACAATGTTTGCATCACATGGTGACTTGCAAGTGTCCACTGAAATGTTCAAGCTTCATCATCCATAAAGTTGAATGTTTTTTATTGGGATTTTATGTTTTGTCCCAATGGAAGGTAGAGTGGAAGGAAAATGGTGGTTCACAATTAAAAAAATAAATATATGTGCCTTTTACATTAACCCCCTTTTACTCAGATGTCTTTAAATAAATTCCTGCACGTCCATTTTCACGGACAGGGTGTCTAAAGTGTGGCCCAGGGGCCTTTTATGGCCCTTGAAATGATTTTAACTGCCCCCCCTGATTACAATTCAAGAAAAGGAAAAATTTGGCCATCAAATTAAAAACAACTGATCCCCAAAAATATGGGAATCATCTTTTTTATGTTTTTGATCTTTAGGGATTTACAAATTGCTTAAAAACAGGCTTATTATTTTTAGGTAAAACAAAACAAAAACAAAAAAAATCCCAAAATTATTTTTGCATTTTATTTTTATTTAACAAATTTTGTGGCTGAAAAATTAGTTTAAGTTTTAGAAGGGTGGTTTTGTCAAAATTGAACTTTTGGATCTACATGTTAAAGCCGCCACTGAACTCACTGCACCTCACTGTAAAACCTGGCAATAACAGCATGATCCTGTGGGGACGCTTTACTTTCAGCTCAGGGAAGCTGCTCAGGAGTCGATGGCAAGAAGCTGAAATCTGGAAGAAAACCAGGAAGAGGAATTTATTTTGTTACGTCTGCAAGGCACTGCACCAGAACTTTCTAAAGCTTTGGTATTCACTGAAGGGAAAGTCCGGAAGCAGCAGATTTTGCAGGATGCAGTCCTGTCCTTCCCATGTCAGAGGCTCTCCTGCGCCGGGGCTCCGTCCAGGAGCAGCCGCCGCAGTTCCTGGGGCTCGGTGACGGGCAGAGAGCAGGTGAGATCCTGGCAGACGTATGCTGCTGCGGCGCCGTCCAGCTGGGTCATGGAGGACAGCGCTGGCAGACGTTGGCACAGGAAGCTCTCTGGGTTCCCATCGGTGTGCATCACGACCTGTCAGGGGCAACAAAACAAAAAGGAGGCGGGAGAGAGAAGTCAGTGGCTTGGCTCTAAAACACTCGGCTCTGCATGTCCACCATTTCAATCAAGAGACTTAAAAATAAAGACATCAAGAAAGGAGGAAGAATTATCCTGTTAAGACGGTTTAGTCAAAGAACGCCATATCAGGGAGCTGGTGTCAGAACTTGATGCCTCCACAACCGTTAAAGGGTAGTATTTTCATTCATTCATTTATTTTATTTTGGTAAACTGTCCACATCACTAGAAACAACAAAGAAATAACAATAAATAACCCACAATTTACCAAAAAAGGAATAAGCTTCTTCTTGCCTACCCTACTTTTTTTTACCCTATAACCTACCAGGATATTTTCACAATACATATGTAAGTCTAAATAATAGCGTAAGATTTTATCATTTTACATCTTAAAACTCTTTTAAAGTTTACTAAAAAAGAACACAACTTAAATTCATCATTCAGTTCATTCCACAATTTCACACCAATAACTGAAATACATCTAGACTTTATCTGGCTCTTCTCTTTTGCACATTCAAATATAAACAAACCTCGCAAATTATATTTATTCTCTCTTAATTAATTTCTGAATACCTGAAGGGAGATTTTTGTTCAATGCTTTAAACATTACTTCCAGTATTTTTATATAGACAATATCTTTAAATTTTAAAATATTACTTTGACTAAAAAGTTTATCCGTTGGTTCCCGGTATCCCACTTCATTAATAAGCCTTACAGCTTTTTTTTTTTTTGCAGCTTAACTAATATTTCAATAATTGTTTTACTTGCATTTCCCCAGATTTCTGAGCAATAAGACAAATAAGACATAACCAAAGAAGAATAAATAATATGCAAGCCTTTAACATTTATTAAATCTTTTATTTTAAACAATATTCCAAATTGTATGAGAAATGCAGTATTAGGCATTTCTCAGGCACATAGTCCCATTTTATAGCACAAGAAAGTAAATATGTTACCATCACTTATAAAAATGCTGTATATGTCAAGCGAGTACAGACTCAAAGACATGTGACTTTATTTCATGCCTTGAAATTGGGCGTATGTCTCTTTAAGAAGCTCCTGCTCTTTATTTATTCTATTTTAAATCTTTTATGAAACTCTGCCTTCAGGAAGTCAACATGGTTCATCTATTAACCGTTTAACAATACACATGATTTTACATTTGTATTCATAGCGACACATTCTAAATCTTGTTCTGTAGGCTCAATCATAATGAAAAGCTTTGGACTTTTTTTGTTTTCTTAATTAAAGTCTGAAGTCCTTGTGAAGCAATTCCAAGAAACATCTCAAATGCTTGTGGGATGAGTCCTAGTCCATGCTCAAATGTCTTAGAGAAAAATCAGTCAGGTCTCAAGTCATTAAAAAGAAAGTTCTGGTCCAATAATCAAAGTCATCAATTCACAGAACAATCTGCTGTTACTAGCTATACCAGTTTCCTCGACGTTCACCTGAGTGTTGAGGAATTTTTCATCATATTCACGGCAAGTCCGTCTCAGGGAACAGATATCTTGAAATCCAACGGTTGTTGGTTCTATTCCACCTTCCTCTTGCCTCGTTTGCATTTCCGGGGCAAAACATTTTAACCCAAGTCGCCTGCAGATTTGCATATCTGTGTGTGATTGTGAGAACATTTGTGGGTGAATGACAAAGATTGATCATGAGTCTAAATCAAGTCAAGACTGTTTTTGCTACTTAAGTGTTTCTTGAGTCCAAGTCTGTAAAAAAAAAAAAAAAAAAAAAAAGAAAGAAAAAAGAAAAAGTAATGCAGTCACTTAAGCCTTACTGTTTCAATCATTTAGTGTCAAGAAAACCCTCCAGGTTGGATCATTATCTAGCATGTCTTTTTTGTGCAGCCATAAAATGCTGCGTGCACACACACACACACACACACACACGCACACACACACACACACACACGCACACACACACACACACACACACACACACACACACACACACACACACACACACACGCGCACACACACACACACACACACACACACAGTCTGCAACCAACCCAAAATAACATTCCCAAACTGCTGTGTTCAGTTGTAGCTGACTGACTGTCATGGTCCTATAAACTCGCCAGTACGAAGAACAGCTTCTGTGAACCAATGCAATGTCCACCTGTCCACTAACGTCCATGTTAGCTTATCAATGAAATGTATTTTAAGAGCCAAAGCTATTGGTCGTTGATTATGTCTCATGATGACTAAAGAGCGGATGGAAGAGTTACCTCAACTTTGTTTCTGCTCATGACGGCATGTTAGTATTTCAGTGTGGTGCCAGACAGGCAGCAGAGTGAAGTTAAAGAGGGCTGCCCTGTCTGTGCCCGAGGCTGCTTCCTGTCAAACATGTGTCATTTCACCAGATTCAGAACCGAGCGAGATGAGCACATAAACAGCAAGCCGGGCCAGAAAGGATGGAAAGGCGAGGATGGAGTGGAAGACAGCATCGTAAAGGTGACTGTCATGTGTGATGGGCAGAACATATTTAACATTGGAATTTACGCCATGAAGAAGGAAAAGTGGAAAATTTGGATTGATAACACATCGAACAGAGCCTGGGGCGCTAAGCACAGTTTGGCTGACCTGCAGAAAAATGGTGATCTGTTGTTTAAGATCACTTTAAAAAGATTCAAAGAAATGTTTTGCATTTTTAGACAGGCTCTTCACAGATTTAAGTCCATTTTCTGTTTGGGGTCCCCAATACCCAGAAACATGAGGGGCAAACTTAGGTTTTTCCCCCTCAGTTTTACTGTGGGGTAAACGATAACGGGGTGAATCTGTTTTGTGTTTTGTAGACTTGAGGTAAGAATGAACTCATTTTAGCCTGATTTCACACCTAATAGTCAGGCAGATTTGCTTCGATTGGAGACCAAATTTGCAACATGTGTTACATTTTCAGCTGATGTGATTCACTTTCACCCTACAGTCCGTAAAAACATCCAAACTAATTGAAAAACATGTTCCCCTCCTCGCCTGTGATGGCGCTAGACCAAAAACCACTGAAGAAAGCAACGTGAAAACCTCAGAACTTCCTACTTCACAGAGTCTGAACAAAAATAGAGTAGTGTCAAAATTTAGCGGATGTAGGATTTCTCTCCCTAGCGCTAGACTCACACATTTATTTTGGTCATACTTACCCAGAATGCCCTGCGCTACAGTTCGCTCCCTGCCTTTGGATTGCTCTCCGGTCTGCTTGAAACCACATATGCGTTCAGACCACGCCAGAGTTCACGCCAACCGAAGCGAGACCTCGGTTTGTAGGTGGACCAGAGTTCGCCTCGTTAGTCTGCATTAGTTTCCCAAACGAACCAGACTTTCTAGATTCCACAGGGAAATCAATAGAAACGGACTAAACAGGACTGGTGTGAGTGCAGCCTTACAACCTGCTGGACAGTGTTGAATTTAAAGAAAAACTTTACCATGAATGCTACGTGCGAGTTATTGTGTTTTGTGCTCCCTAAATTCAACACGTTGATCATGAATATAGAACATCTGCAAACACTGGGAACGTGGAAAGGAAAATGTTGTTTTGTAGTGTGGATGTGAAGTTAGTAAAGAAACATGTTTGGCATGTGAGATCACTCTAAAATCCACTTTGTGAGCAGAGCATGTCCAGGTTACGGCGCTATGTGAAAGACTTTTATTAGGAAGTTTTCCTGCCTGGTGGTTTCCCTGTTAACAGGTCAGCAAATGGCATAAAATAACCTCGATTATACAAAAGATTCTCAATATGAACCTGTACAGCTCCTTTGTTTGAAATGTTAACAACTCGATTGGTGCTTCACATTTTAAAATAAAAGTCCCATCAATGTAGTACAGGGTGATATCAGAGTCAAGTACAGAATGCTCTGTGAAATAAAACTGTAGCACCTTTAAATAAAAACCTTTATTTCATACTCTGTTCTTTAAAAAATGTCCATGTTAATGGCAGATCACATCACTTCTGGTACAGGCATTTTATTCCCTTGCACTGTCTTTTCTGTTTGGAGATGAAGGGGGGATGTACAATATACGTGTCGCTAATGATTTGACTCGCGCTGAACAAACAAATACTTAATTAAATGTCGTCTTTCTGCTTTGTGTTCCTTGCAAACGTAGACCCCGTATAATGAGTAATCTTTCCAGCCACTGTGAAAAGTTGTGCTAATGCACATTCTTTTCTCATTAACACAACGTTCTTTTCAGAAACAAGAAAAATGAAATTTCATTATTTCCATGCCAACACAAGGGTCTTATTGGAAAAGTGGCTTCTAGCATACCTCTGCTGTTTTGCCAACCAAACATCCTCCTATCTTTCCACCACTCTAGTTTCTGAAACATTTCGATTTTGCATCAAAAAGTGTCACTAAATATTTTAGCGACAAAGAGGCCTCATTTGTATAAGCTAAATAATTAGCCACAGTCCAAGCAGTGTTTCTGCAACGTGCTGTGTGCGGAGACATTATGTGGATATGTAGCACCATATTCAAGAATAGAAAATATTACTGTTATAATGTATGACATACGGAAACAAGGGGAACGCACTTGTTATTCTGAGAAAATTTTGCATCAACAATTGTTTTGCTACAGTGGCAAAAAAACCAACAACATTTAAATTCTAAGAAAATGATAAAAAGCAAGGAAATGTGTAACATGCAATCATGTATAAGGGCAGTGAAGATTTTCTGCCAGGTCACCTTGTCCTCTTTTCAGGGAACTTCATTTCTGTGGCTCTGAAATTGACCTTGGTAACTTATCACTTATGGGTCTCTGAAGTATTTATGGACATCAGAGTAAAGGGGAGCTGACTGTAAGCTTAGCTTATACTTGTAAGATTTTTATTTATATAAAAAAAAACAACAAACAAACATTGTGGCTATGTATCCATCGATCCATCCATCTATTTTTGTGTGAGGATTAGAGAAACGGTCTCAAATTGCACCTGGAAGTTTATTCCTCTTTGCATTGGAT